ACTCCCTGACGCTCCCCCCGCGGGTGGGGGGAGTGTGTCCAAATGACTTCTCTGCATCTGTTGGGATGAGCATTTGGATTTTCTCTTTGGCTATCTTAATGCAGTGACTTGCATTTGCAGCTTTTGTGTGTTGAGCCAGCCTTGCATTCCTGGGGTGAACAGTGTTGAGTCAGGATGTGAGCTGGTGTCTTCCACCTGCCCCTCCAGGTGCCCCCTCTCGCCTTGTGCTGTCCTCAGAGCTGGTCTCTGTAGACTGCATTGGTGGGCTCTGTGCCCTGCAGTTTCTTGTCGGCCACTGGGGAGCCCCAGGGGGAGATCACAGGGAGGGCAGATAGTGAGGCTGGGTTATTTAGTCTCCTTCTGGGGTCACCTCAGTGTGTGGGCTGAATTTTGACCTCCTAAAATCCCTATGTTGAAGTCCTAACCCCCAGTAGCACACACTGTGATTGTATTTGAACGAAGAATCTTTACGGAGGTAATCGAGTTAAAACGAGATCATTAGGGTGGGCCCTAACCCAATATGACTGGTGTCCTCATAAGATGGCGAAACTTGGACACGGACACACACAGAGGGAACCAACCCTGCCCACACCTGGATTTTGCACTTCTGGCCTCTAAAACTGTGAGATGGTAAATTTCTGTCGTTTAAGCCCCAAGCCTGTAGTACTTGGTTACAGCAGCTCCAGGCAACTTGTACACTTGGGTTGGCTGCGTCCCTCAGCTGAAAGTCCCTGTTCCTCTCAATATGTGGCTGGCTTTCTCCCTCTGAGGTTCCGGTGGCTGCTCCCGTGCCCTGGCCCTTCAGGTCTGGAGGTGGCATCTGCTCCTGTTCTACACCCAACGAGGGCTGCTGAGCTGGCACCGTGGTCTCTGTTGTCTTGGCCACGCCTCCCCTGCATTGTCCTGCCAAATGTGTGCCAGCCCGTGGGACCCTGGCTTCTACATGACATATTTTTTTTTATCCTTTTAAAAATTTACTTGTATTTAGTTTAGGATTTTCCATTTGTGTTTGTGAATGAGATTGGCCTGTAAGTTTCCCTTCTTATATTCTTAGGATGCCTATTATCAAGGCTATATGCCTTGTATAATTAGTCCAGAAGTATCCCTTCTTTCATCAAAACTCACTGGAAGACTCTGTATACAAAGGTTGGAATGGTCTATTCTTTGGAAGTTTGGTAGATTGGATCTATAAAATTACCTGGCCTGGCGTTTTCTTTACAGGATGATATTTAACTACTGATTCAGTGTCTTTACTAGTTGTGGAACTAGTTAGGAATTTTATTTCTTCTTGAGCCCGTTATAAAAAGTCACACTTGTATGAATGTATCTAATTTTTCATGTTCGTTGCCATATGGCTCATCCTCTCATTTAATCTCAGACACATCAGTAGTTGTTTTCTTCAGCACTTGGAGGATATTCACTGTCTTCTGGCCTCCATCGCTACTGCTGGGAAATCTGTTCTCAATCTGACTGTTGCTCTTTTGTAGATATTTTTTCCTCTGGTGGTTGTGATGTCTGTGACTTCAGTCTGCTGCAGTGTCACTGTGACACGTGTGGATGGTTCTTCTCTTTGTTCTGATTGCTGCATGTGTACCCCATAGTCTTGCTCGGGCTGGGTGTTTGCAGGTGCCCTCCCCTTTGGTGACTTTTCTGTGTCACAAATGACCTCAAAACTCAGTGACATAACACAACAGTCATTTATTTAGCTCACAATTCCACAGGTTGGTAATCTGGGCTGGGCTCAGCTGGGTGGTTCTTCTGGGCTATTCCGGGCTCTCTCACATATGTGGAGTCATGAGTGGGTCTTAGGCTGTTCTGCTTCTGGGGCTTGGCTGGAGCCATAGAATGACTAGGTCACACGTGTGTCATCCCCAGCAGGCTGGCTGGGCTTGTTCACATGGTGGGGGAAGGGCTCCAAAGAAAGAGCGGGTGTGAGCATTTCCATGCACTTCATCTATCAAAGAGAGCCAGAGTCAAGGGGTGGAGAAGCAGACTCCACCTCTGAGTGGGAGGGGCGCATGGCCACATTTTAAGGGGTATGGGTCTAGGGAGGGGAACATTTGCAGCTGTGTTTTTCAAACAATCTACCACACTCCCCATATTCATTTGCTTGGGCTGCCATAACAGAATACCACAAACTGGGTGGTGCAAGCAGACATGTATTGTATCACAGTTCTGGAGGCTGGAAAGTTCATAATCAAGGTGCTGGCAAACTTGGCTCCAGCGAAGGCTCTCTTCCTCCTTGCCATGTCCTCCATGGGTCGTCCTCTGTGCATGAGAGAGAGAGAGAGAGAGAGAGAGAGAGAGAGAGAGAGAGAGAGAGAGAGAGATCTCTGTTGTCATCTTATAAGGACACCGTCACCGGTTCCTATCGGATTAGGGCCCACCCTTATGACCTCATTTCACCTTAATATCCTTCTTAAAGGCCCAGTCACCAAATACAGTCACAATGGGGTAAGGGTTTCAACATTTGAATTTTGGGGGGACACAAATCAGCCCATAACACTCTCCATCTCACCATGGGATGAGTGAAAAGAGTTTGGCAGGTGGCCACTGGGCAAGGAAGTGGTGGTTGTCATCCCCACCCCACTCTACCAGCGATGTCATTCCTGTGCCTCACCTAATGAGGGGAAGCTGGGGAAAGTGAAAGCAGGAAGGGGTTTGGTGAGCACAGGGCAAGGTGCTTGCTGTGGCCAGCCACACGGAGCCACCTGGGGATGAAGGACATGGCAGGTCACCCCATCCCCACCAACCCCGTGAGTTTGTGAAACCTGTGATCACTCTGAAAGACCCTCAGCTACACTGTCTCACGTGGGGGCTCATCACAATAACATCAGCGGAGATTACAAAGGTCACATGATGGCTCAGTGGTCATTTGGCAGTGAATGGCGGTGCAGTGTCTGGTGGCAGGTCTTGTGGTGGCAGAGCCTCTGACGGGAGGCAGCGGACTGCAGCCAGAGTCTAGTAGGGATCGTAGTACCCCTGGCCCTGAGGTCCAGCAGCAGCAATGGCTGTGTGGTCATGGTGGCTGTGACCGTGGGCTTTGCGGGTGGCAGCCGTGCCTTGTGGCCGTGGGGTCCAGTGTGCAGTGGTGCTGAGTTGGGGTGCCGTCCTGTCTCAGGAGGTGATGGTGCTTTCTCGCTGCCCACCTCCAAGGGCCGCTGGCTCTCCAGCACCCGCACCCCGGCTTCTTCTGGTGCCTGATGTCCTTCCAGTCACCTCCGTCTTGCTTCCCTTCACTGCCTCAGTCAGTTTACCACTTGCGACCAGCAGCCCTGGCTGCAACAGCTGGGGAAACTGAGGGACGGAGAGAGGCAGGAGCCAACCCAGGGTCACAGAATTCTTGGCCAGTCTGGAGTAGGAGCTGGGTCACCCCTGCCTCCTGGCAGGAGGCTGTCCCTGCCTTTCAGCAGCCCTGGCAGGCCACACGGAATGGGAGGGGGCTGTCTGTCCCCACGCAGCCTGCATTTTCCGGAGCTGGTGCAGGCGCAGGTGCAGCTGCCAGGCGTGGCAGGAGCCTGGGTCAGGGCCAGCGCTTGGGAACGCAGCAGAGCACGGCCTCTCCCTGCAGGCATGAGCGAGGGCCAGGCGCCCGGGGCGGCGGATGTGTCCACGGCTACAGCCCCCAACTGCCACCCGACTCCACACCGGCTATCCCGGCCAGCCCCTGGGGGGGCCTCAGATGTGTGGGGAGCATGAATGGTGCTCTGTGGCCAGGCAGCTGTTCAGGAGACGGCTGGTGGCTGGTGCACAAGTGATGGGGGATGGAGGGGAGCACACAGAGCTGCTTCCTGGGCCTGGTGTCCCCTCCTTGCGTTAGGCCCCAGCAAAACATCACCGCGGCACCAGAATCAGCCCTGTGGCCCCCCTGAGACCTGTTTTCTCAGATCCCCAGGGCTGGGGGGGCGTCGCCCAGGGCTCCCGATGCCTCTGAGACATGGGTCAGTCCTGGCTGCAAGATCTCACGCTTGCTGCTCTGAGCCTGACTTGTCTCCTCTGTACGAGGCAGACAGAGCCCAGCCTGAGGGGTCTCCAGGGAGGAAATGGAGACCCATACTCATGCCCCATTAATAAGACACCGACCCTCACCTCTTCTCCCCACTAGGACCATAAGCCCCTTGAGCAAGGGTCCCTTGGTGGGGTGTGTGGACAGAGCTTCACGGCTTGTCCAGGGTGCTTATTTTGCTGGGTTCAAACTGCCTCCACCTTCATGGCTGTCCCCTTATCTCTGTGAACCTCTGGAGGCCATCCTGCAGATGGGGGTTGATGCCCAGGGTGTAGACCTGCCAGGATCCCAAAGCACGTGGGCTCCAGAGGAACTGGGTTGGCATCTAAGGCTCAGGCCAGACCTTGGAGGTGGCTGTGCTGGAGCTACAGGGTCAAGAAGACACAATCCAGAAACCCAGTGAGATCACCCGGCTGGGAAGGGGGCTGCGGTGGGCTCTTTACAAAGCAGCCCAGCTCCTGTGTGCCCATCTGTGCCAGGCTGGCAGGAGCCAGCTCTCGGCTGGAGGTGGAAGGGAGACCAGACCCGGTGACCTGTGGTGCCGAGGTGGCACAGTGAGTGCTGGTCCCGCCCCTCACCCGGGAGCCACCTGCACTGGGGTTCACACTGCCAGGAGGGGCTCGCAGCTTAAAGGGAACACAACTGGGTGAAGGGGCAGGTACCCAGAGCAGTCCCCGTGGTGGTCCTCTGCCCCACCCCCTGCCTGGGGAGTGGTTGTTGGGGGCGGGAGGGCTGCCTGGCCAGTCTGTTGTCAGGGCTGTCCGGTGACACCCCTGGGGTGGCAGGAGGGGCAGGTGCCAGGGCTGGAGCCAGGTTGGTGGAGACACACTGTAAAGCTGGGGCGCCCCTCTTCGGGGGGGGGGTCCCTTCTCTGCTTCACGGAGAGCAGCGCGTGCTGCTGGGGTGGGTGGGCGGCCCGGCGCGGTGCCACCACGGGGGACCGGGGACCGCCAGGCCGCGCCCCGCCCCCGCGCCG